TTGCAAAACAATTGTATTTAAATCCAAGAGGATACATACGACTTTGTTGAACTAGAGAATATAGTGTCTAAACTAAGGGTAGGCTTTTTTGTATAGTTCCTTTGGTGTCTGTTTTGCTACTCATATCCAAAAATAAGTGAAATTTTAGATTGGATTGCTTGGAATAATCCCACCAATTAAGTTCCACTTACAACCTGTAAACCATTCTTCCTAATGGTTAATGTTTCCTTCAGTCCATCAGGTGAGCTGGTTTCCCATTTCTTTAGGGTTTAGTGGAACTAATCTTATATTATGGGAAAAACAGCCCTAGAGGATAAATGAGCCATATGACTACTTGAGTATCACAGTTCATTGTATCATTGTAGTTAAAGTCTAAAGTTTGTGACTATTTTTTGCCGATAATAGAACTTTCTTGTTACAATATCATGTGCTTCTAAGTTCTGGTGCATTATATCCTAGAACTATGAACCACATACTGACTTATTCTCTTGATGGTAGGAATACTTTCCATCAGAAGCTTGGGTTGCTTTTTTGGTGCACTTGGTAATCTTTGGTGGATAATGTGATTGTCAAGCATACCAGCTTTAATTTTTGCTGTTTGTTTCCTGAATTTATGAATGCTCTAATTTTTATACCAGATTGAAATGCCTCTTCAAACATCACCTCTGCACTACATAGGTGTGAAAATTGTATGAAATTTCTTGATTGATCATTATGTTATTTTATGTTTTGTTTGTTGAATCTTAGTTATTCCATTGCCTTTTCTAGGTTCTTCGGTTATTTTATATTTTTTTTTTTTATATTGTGAACTTTAATTATCCAATATGAACAACATATACCTTGTTCAATCTATTATTATTATTTTTTCTTTAATCTTATTTTATTTATTATATATATATATATATTTTTTTTATAGACCATTTATTTTTTTTATTGTTCTTGATCAAGACACGATTTCCTTGATACAATTTTGTTTCTTGAGANTTTTTTTTTTTTATATTGTGAACTTTAATTATCCAATATGAACAACATATACCTTGTTCAATCTATTATTATTATTTTTTCTTTAATCTTATTTTATTTATTATATATATATATATCTATATATATATATATATATATATATATATATTTTTATAGACCATTTATTTTTTTTATTGTTCTTGATCAAGACACGATTTCCTTGATACAATTTTGTTTCTTGAGATTTTAATCTAAATTTTTTTATGTTTGGTCACTCAATTTTAGGTTTATATACATTTTAAAGAATTTGACCTTAAATTAATTCTTGTCACGACAATTAGGAGATTTTCCTAAAAATTTGATTTCAAGTGGTTCTATTTTTCAAGAGTTTGATCTCAAACATGTTTTACTTTTTATTTTTATTTTTTATTGTTATACAAATTTTAAGCTTTTAAATTTTCTCATGACATTATTATCAAGGCTAAATTTTTTTTTTAACTTTTTTTTTTGAAGAATCTTATCTTAAGAAACTTTGTTCTAAGAATTTAACATTGGGTTGACNGTGGTTCTATTTTTCAAGAGTTTGATCTCAAACATGTTTTACTTTTTATTTTTATTTTTTATTGTTATACAAATTTTAAGCTTTTAAATTTTCTCATGACATTATTATCAAGGCTAAATTTTTTTTTTGAAGAATCTTATCTTAAGAAACTTTGTTCTAAGAATTTAACATTGGGTTGACTTTACGCTAAAAATTTTAATTTTAAATAACTTTTCCCAAGAATGTTACTCTAGGTGACATCCATTCTAACAATTTATAACTTTTATGGCAANTTGTTTGTTGAATCTTAGTTATTCCATTGCCTTTTCTAGGTTCTTCGGTTATTTTATATTTTTTTTTTTTATATTGTGAACTTTAATTATCCAATATGAACAACATATACCTTGTTCAATCTATTATTATTATTTTTTCTTTAATCTTATTTTATTTATTATATATATATATATCTATATATATATATATATATATATATATATATTTTTATAGACCATTTATTTTTTTTATTGTTCTTGATCAAGACACGATTTCCTTGATACAATTTTGTTTCTTGAGATTTTAATCTAAATTTTTTTATGTTTGGTCACTCAATTTTAGGTTTATATACATTTTAAAGAATTTGACCTTAAATTAATTCTTGTCACGACAATTAGGAGATTTTCCTAAAAATTTGATTTCAAGTGGTTCTATTTTTCAAGAGTTTGATCTCAAACATGTTTTACTTTTTATTTTTATTTTTTATTGTTATACAAATTTTAAGCTTTTAAATTTTCTCATGACATTATTATCAAGGCTAAATTTTTTTTTTAACTTTTTTTTTTGAAGAATCTTATCTTAAGAAACTTTGTTCTAAGAATTTAACATTGGGTTGACTTTACGCTAAAAATTTTAATTTTAAATAACTTTTCCCAAGAATGTTACTCTAGGTGACATCCATTCTAACAATTTATAACTTTTATGGCAACTATAGGTGACTTATGTTACAAGAATTTTATTTTACTTTATTATTATTATTATTATTCTTTTGACCACCTTAAGTGATTTTTGTGTCGACTTAGATGACTCTTGTGACAATTTTAGGTGACTTCCGTGACAACCTTAAGTAATTTCTGTGGCAGCCCTAAGGTGACTTTTGTAACAGTCTTTTGGTAACTTCTATAACAGCNATAACTTTTATGGCAACTATAGGTGACTTATGTTACAAGAATTTTATTTTACTTTATTATTATTATTATTCTTTTGACCACCTTAAGTGATTTTTGTGTCGACTTAGATGACTCTTGTGACAATTTTAGGTGACTTCCATGACAACCTTAAGTAATTTCTGTGGCAGCCCTAAGGTGACTTTTGTAACAGTCTTTTGGTAACTTCTATAACAACCATTTAGTGACTTTCAAATATTACGGTGGTTTTCAAATATAACGGCTAAGATCATTTACACCGTCCTCCTCCTCATCATCTAAAGTTGTGTTTTTAGGCTTCAAAACTGGCAGGTTTTTTTTTTTTTAGAATTAAATTCATTATAAAATGCTGGGGCTTTCTTGTCTATTACATTGTACTTTGTTACCTTGTTTAATGAAAATTTTCTGTTTCCTATAAAAAAAAGTTAAAAATAAAATGCTGGAAATTGGGGTTGCTTCTTGTATATGTACAAGTGACTATTTCAAAATTTGCCTTTAGAAAAAGTGCTGTGAAGCCAAAGTAGTAGGTGGAATTCTGTTCTTGTTTTAACTTTTAAGTAACAATAGTTGCATATCTTTTTTTTTCTTTGGTCAGGAACAATAGTTGCATATCAGTAGCCAAATCTTAGTGAGATATTTTAGATTTTTAAGTAAGTTCCACCCTTTCTTCTTCTTCTCACTAGAACTAGAAAAGGCATGTTATAAGCAAAGAAGTAACTTTTGAACTTTAGTTGCAAAACTTCCTCAAGCCTGATTTGTGCTTGGTTTTAACTTAATATGTCTGTTTTCAAGGTTGTATAACATTAATAAGAAAAAATATGATGCTTATAAGANATAGGCATTGAATGTCATTCCCCCCTTTTTTCTTCAGTTTTATCTTAAATTTTATGTGCTTAATACTGATAGCCTACATTATGCATCCCATGTGTATCACGGCGGTCGCTTAGCTTTATACTTGACAGTGGTCACTATCATGGAGCACCTATTACTCACTCTTAACAATTCAAGCTAAAGCATGGATTTTGTGGTCCTCCTATATAGATTACAATATTCGCACTATAATTCTAGGCCAACTGGAGGGACCACTGTATCATGGTACCATTTAAACCTTCAAAATCTGAGAGGCCTACTTCAGAAATGCTGATTATTTCTTTTTATCAGTTTGATATGTAATCTCATGTGGGTAGCAATGCTCCATCAGTAATTGTGGTTATCAGGATCTCCTTAATGTGGATCAAATGGACATAATCACTTGTCTGGTTAATATTGAGNAGCCCACTATAATTGTAAAGCATGAGTAGGGTTGTGTCGGAGACCATGATTGTTAGACACATTAAAACTGCTTGTTTGGCTGAGTGCCATTTCTCTACAAAATTTTCACTACTTGTGTCACAATATTACCCCTAAGAAAAACAAAGAAATTCATTTTATAATCACAAGATAAAGTAATACGTCATTTATGCTTGTAGAGGTAGAAAAGAGGTTAGCAAACTTAGCATGCGTGGTGCAATGATTGTTGCAAAGTTATTGGCATTCCCTTTAATAAGAATGATTCTATGTTTATTGTATTGTTGTCTTTTTTTTATGCACCATGGTTTAATGCATTTACATAGGCATTGAATGTCATTCCCCCCTTTTTTCTTCAGTTTTATCTTAAATTTTATGTGCTTAATACTGATAGCCTACATTATGCATCCCATGTGTATCACGGCGGTCGCTTAGCTTTATACTTGACAGTGGTCACTATCATGGAGCACCTATTACTCACTCTTAACAATTCAAGCTAAAGCATGGATTTTGTGGTCCTCCTATATAGATTACAATATTCGCACTATAATTCTAGGCCAACTGGAGGGACCACTGTATCATGGTACCATTTAAACCTTCAAAATCTGAGAGGCCTACTTCAGAAATGCTGATTATTTCTTTTTATCAGTTTGATATGTAATCTCATGTGGGTAGCAATGCTCCATCAGTAATTGTGGTTATCAGGATCTCCTTAATGCGGATCAAATGGACATAATCACTTGTCTGGTTAATATTGAGAGTGTGTGCCATTTGCATTCAGTTTGGACCCTAGGTTTCAGAAGCATGACTAATGATGTATGTAGACATGGTTTGCAAATAGGGCAATGACTGTCTGGTTGAACTTCATAGGTGGATCCAAAATTCCAACTGGGAGACATATTAGGGGACCAGTCCTTGTCTTTCATGATTTTCATGCCAAGTTTTTTTTATAGCATCTGGAATGGTGAAAGAGTGTTGATTGGATTGTTGGAAAATCAAACTTCTTGAACAGGCAATGGAGCAGTAGCTTATTCAAAACAATTAAATATATGTACAGCGAATTCAATAAGTGCCCACCACTAGTCATCACCTAGAGTAGAAGATGATATTCCAAGAGAGGAGGCAAATGTTGCAGTAGTGTCCCCACTTAGGTATCTCTTGAGGCGATCCAAGTCATCTGCAGCATCAAGCATTGTTGGCCTTGTAGAGGGGGACTCCTGTGTGCAAAGAATACCCAACTCAATTAGTTCCCCAATCGCAACTTCCCACATTTTCTTCACTTCAGGGGGCTGATCTCTCAGAGCTCTCATCAATGAAGAGTCTACTAACTTTTCCATCTGCCTATGGTAGTAACTCTTGACCCATTTGTGCAGGCTTAGCTCTCCAACAAACATGTCATCTGTTGGTCTCTTCCTTGTCACCATCTCAAGAACTAGAATACCAAAGCTGTAAACATCTCCCTTTGTAGATGTGATTGATCCAAACCCATACTCTTCATGGGAAAAGGAAGAATGAGAATTAACGGAGGCTTTGTACTTACGTAAAATCAAATCAGGGAACTAAGAGAAATATATTTGATACTGATTGCTGAGGTTGTGATTCTGCCCGATTATCGGTTAAATACTAAATGCTTGTTATGACTTGAATGAGATTTACGATCTTCCTTTAAACTGGAAGATTACTCACAAAATGGTTAAAGAAAGCCCATTTCCATTATCTCTAAGTGTTGTATTCTGATCAACAATAAATCAATTTTTTTGTGCTTTAACAAATCAGTTACGGGGGCCAAAGAGAACATTTTTAATTATATGGATCTTTCTTGTTTATTCTTTCTTCTTTGTTTTTATTTGGTTTTCTGGTGCAGAAACTGAGGAGAATTCTGTACCTGGTGCAATGTATCCAATGGATCCACACAACATATTTGCGGTGGAGTTCCCCATATTCTCAATTACCCCTGCATTTCCTGCTCCAACTGTCATAACTAACCTCGAAATCCCAAAATCAGACACTAAAGCCGTCAGATCATCGTTGAGAAGAACATTGCTTGGCTTTAGATCACAATGGATGACTTTAACCGGAGAGTAGTGATGTAGATAAGCCATCCCTTCAGCGATATCATGGCAAATGTTAACCCTCTGGATCAGGCTTAAGTCTGAAGAACCTGAACCCAGACCTGTGGCTGGGTGTGGGTAGAGACGGCTATCCAAGCTCCCATTTGCCATGTAAGGAAGAACAAGGGCCTTGAAATCAGGTAAACTACAAGCAGTTATAATCCTTATCAGGTTCCTGTGACGAATCCTCTTTAATACTTGGCATTCTCTATTAAAACTTTTCATAGAATTGCCAGTTTTCAATTGCAGCACCTTGACTGCTATTGGCGTTCCATCTTGAAGAACTCCCTTGTAGACACGTCCATAACTGCCCGACCCAACCAGTCTCTGATCATCAAATCCTTCAGTGGCCTCCGAAAGTTCTTTATATGTTATCCTAGGGAAATTGTGAATCAACTCTGGTGGTAATTTCCTTTCTGTTTCAGTCTTACCAGAGGGAATTATTACTTTTAAGCGCCGGCATCCAATCAGATAACAGACTGTTGAAGAGAATGATGACACAGATATGACAGTACAAAATATGATCAAGAACAAATGTGTATTAAATTTCTTTTGTGTTTTTTGACAAATGATATCAATAACTGACCCACAAAGATTTCGGTTGCCCAAGAATGATAGATTTGTGAAAGAGTTAATGACACCACCAGAGGGAATCATGCCAGCAAAGTTATTGGACGAAAGATTTAGAAAGGTGAGATTAAGTTTATTTATGCTTGTTGGGATCATCCCAGATAAGGAGTTACTAGAAACATCGAAGGTTTCAAGGTTCTTGAGATCACCTAAAGATTCTGGAAGCTGTCCTTGAAGAGAATTGTGCGATAAGTCTAGCTTCGTCAAGGCGATACAACTTGAAATTTTAGAGAAGATACTTCCAGTGAGGTTATTCCAGGAAAGATCCATCTCTTGGACATTTTCCAGCTTACTGAGCTCTATTGGCAAGAGCCCTTGGAGATCATTATGTGAAAAATTTAAAAATATCCGTATCTCTCGTAGACTTGATATTGCTGAAGGAATTCTCCCTGTCAATCTGTTATAGGACAAGTCTAGCATATTCAGATCAGTACACTTTCCTAAACTTGATGGTATAACACCTGAAAGGAGGTTGTTATTGAGGAACAGATAATTCACCTTGACCAAATTTCCTAAACTATTAGGGATATTACCGGAGAATTTGTTGTGTGATAGATCAAGGAGACCCAAATGAGGAAACTTTCCAAGTGCTGCCGGAATCTCGCTGGTGAAAAAGTTGTTTGATAAACAAAACTGTTGCAAGAGTGGCAACTGACTGATTTCTGATGCGATCGCACCATTCAGAAGGTTGAATGACAAATTCAACGTCAAAAGACTGGAAAGATTTGCAAATCCTGGAGGAATTGATCCAAATATCTGGTTTTCTTGCAGTAACATAGTTGTCAGATTAACACTTAGTTGTCCAATTGAACTAGGCAACCTTCCTCCAAGACTCATGCCTGCCAATTCGAGCTCCTCCAGACTTGTGCAGTTTAAGAGGGCGGTAAAGAAAGGATCAAGATTAGTGTTGTGATCATGACTAGTCATATTATTGAATGACAGATGAAGATAGCCAAGTTCATCTAGTGATGCTACTGTCTCCGAGGGCAATTCACCAGAAAGATGGTTGTGCTCCAAATCCAGATTATACATGTGTGAAGCATTGATTAGAGATGCAGGGATGTCCCCGGTGAATTGGTTATTATACAAATTGAGGTTCCATAAGTTTGGACAATTTCCAATTTCTGCTGGAATCTTTCCCGTGAATGAGTTTTGGGAGAGGTCTATATTGAATAAAGTGCAGTTGGAGAAAAAGGAAGCTGGAATTGTACCAGTCAAGTTGTTTGCCATAAGAGTAAGTACAGTAAGGTTTGTAAGAAAGAATAAGGAACCTGGTATTGGGCCTTGCAAGTTATTGCCATCGAGCTTGAGATGAAGAAGGTGCCGGAGGGAGGAGAATTCAGGTGGAATGACGCCAAACAAGTGGTTGTTGACAAGCTCTAACACTCGAAGACGGGTGAGATTTGAAATGAAGGGTGAAAGCAATCCTACAAGACCAGTCTCATTGAGGCGGAGTTGTACCACACGATGAATCTGTTTGTTGCAATTGACTCCAGTGAAGTTGCACACATTGGTGGTCTCGTTCCAGTTAGCAAGTGTACCATATGGGTCAGATGATATGGTCCTTTTGAATGCCAGTAGTGCCTCTTTATCGGCCTGCAAAGAGTGATGAAGATGGTGGTGGTGGTGCTGCTGATAACCCAAAAGGGCATGTCCAGAGATTATAACCAAATGTTGCAATAGGGAGAAGAACATGCTTCTCTTGAAGACCATGTTGGTGAAATTGCAAGTGCCAAATGATACTGTGTTCAAGGAGCAACATCATAAATTAATAAAAGAACACTTTTCATACTTTTATGAAGGTGTTTTGAGAGAGGGAGAGATGTCTCTTGAATGTCAATGAAGGTGGATACTGATATTTTGATATGAATAGTTCGATTGAGCTATGATTTGTAGAGGGACTAAGCAATTATTTTTTATGTGAAGCAGCAGCCATGATGAGTAGATTTCAACTGAGATGATACCCATTTTGGAGGGCAGTAACAAAATTGCTGCAAGTATTGGGTGATGACGTTTCTTCTTGCAGCCATCTGGAAGGGGTTGCTGATTTAACATGCAATTCAAGAGAGAGAGAGAAAGAGAGAGCATTAGTTGACAATTCGAATGTCTTATCAAGATTGAGAGGAGTTATCCAGTTGTACATTCTTCGATCTTCACACTAACTTGGGTTAGCAATTGGAGGTGTCGTGTTTAAGTCAAGTCACGTCTTGTCATATCAAAATTTATTCAATTCATATATATAATCTAGTTACAATTGCATATATATGTTTTGCCTAACTTTCATTTCAGAGCAAGTGTTCATAGCCACATAATGAAGTTTTTTTTTGCCTTTGGCACAGTTTATTTTGGGCTAGTGGCAATTTTTGGCCAACTAATGATGGGACCTGTTTCATACTGGCCTCTTGAGTGAGAGAAAGGTGTTGAAAGTTGCAACATATTGTTATAATATATGGTAGAGCTATCTTAGAGGCACCATTTTAAATTGCTTCCTAGATTCCCCAAATTACTATTTTGAAGCTAAATCTAAAAAAAGAATAACATAGTGAGGAAAAAGGAATAGTTATAAAAAGCTGGTGATAAAATGTGTTGACAAGTGCTGTTTTTTTTTTATTATCGAGAACTCTTTGGATCACATATTTTTTTTTATAACTGAAAATTGTTTCAATTACACATTGCTCAACTACTTTATACTTAGCCATCCGCAACTTATTGTATTAGACCAATTAGAACGTCTATTATTAGGAGAATCAAAATTGGGAATTCGAAATAATGAACTTGTCGTTTTCAATACGATCTATCATTTGAGTTGAATTTTATCTCCTGCTTGCTATTTGCTGTTGAAGTTAAGCTAAGATCTTCAGTTGTGGGGTGGCTGGTGGTTTCAGGATCCCGTAGAAAATGTTTCATTTATGTCTCGTTACGATTAGGTTAGTTGTGACGTGACTAGGACCATTTTTAAGAATGATGGCCGTTTCGCTCACACATCCAAGGCCAATGGGTTTGGGGGTGGCTCCAGAAGCCTTAATGTGGGGCCCTCTCCCGTTGATCTGCAGTGTGCCACTCAATTGGTGGAGCCCACCATGTTAATGGCAGGTAGGCCCAATGGACTTTCCATTAAGTGGAGTCACTAGGGTTGCAACCAGCAACCTCAGCTTCTCTGGGTCCATGCCTTGATACAATTTCGGATTAAATTATATTTATATCCCCTAAACTATCATTATTTTCACTTTCCCCCCTANATAACATAGTGAGGAAAAAGGAATAGTTATAAAAAGCTGGTGATAAAATGTGTTGATAAGTGCTGTTTTTTTTTTATTATCGAGAACTCTTTGGATCACAGATTTTTTTTTACAACTGAAAATTGTTTCAATTACTCAACTACTTTATACTTAGTCATCTGCAACTTATTGTATTAGACCAATTATTGTATTAGACCAATTAGAACGTCTATTATTAGGAGAGTCAAAATTGGGAATTCGAAATAATGAACTTGTCGTTTTCAATCCGACCTATCATGTTTGAGTTGAATTTTATTTCCTGCTTGCTATTTGCTGTTGAAGTTAAGCTAAGATCTTCAGTTGTGGGGTGGCTGGTGGTTTCAGGATCCCGTAGAAAATGTTTCATTTATGTCTCGTTACGATTAGGTTAGTTGTGACGTGACTAGGACCATTTTTAAGAATGATGGCCGTTTCGCTCACACATCCAAGGCCAATGGGTTTGGGGGTGGCTCCAGAAGCCTTAATGTGGGGCCCTCTCCCGTTGATCTGCAGTGTGCCACTCAATTGGTGGAGCCCACCATGTTAATGGCAGGTAGGCCCAATGGACATTCCATTAAGTGGAGTCACTAGGGTTGCAATCAGCAACCTCAGCTTCTCAGGGTCCATGCCTTGATACAATTTCGGATTAAATTATATTTATATCCCCTAAACTATCATTATTTTCACTTTCCCCCCTAAACTATCTGATTTCTCACATTATACCTTTAGCTAACACTTTTTTATATTGCCCCCCAATCACACACGTCTGTTATCTTTTTTGACAGAAATCACTGACGTGACGGAGTAAAGTGAAAAAAATATGTAGTTTGAGGGGCAAAATGAAATAACTTTTCCTTAAATATGTAACAGACGTTAATAATTAGAGTAATGTAAAACTAATTACATAATTGAAGGTGCAATGTGAGAAATCTGATAGTTGAGGGGACAAAGTGAAAAAAGGGTAACAATTTAGGAGTTGTAAATGTAATTTACCCTACAATTTCTAATATATGAGTAGATCTGATTGTCTAGCAGTATAATTCAAAATCTCCTAATCAAAAAAGTTTTTTGTTAGTACTGCTTATATTTAAATTATTTATTTGATTGTTATGTTCTTTAGTTTTATCCACTATGACATTTACTGAATCACTATTATTTGACTCCGATACATCTCACATGACTCAATCAAGTTACGGGAGATTTGTGGCTTACACAAAAAGCTAAACTANGACTAGGACCATTTTTAAGAATGATGGCCGTTTCGCTCACACATCCAAGGCCAATGGGTTTGGGGGTGGCTCCAGAAGCCTTAATGTGGGGCCCTCTCCCGTTGATCTGCAGTGTGCCACTCAATTGGTGGAGCCCACCATGTTAATGGCAGGTAGGCCCAATGGACATTCCATTAAGTGGAGTCACTAGGGTTGCAATCAGCAACCTCAGCTTCTCAGGGTCCATGCCTTGATACAATTTCGGATTAAATTATATTTATATCCCCTAAACTATCATTATTTTCACTTTCCCCCCTAACTATCTGATTTCTCACATTATACCTTTAGCTAACACTTTTTTATATTGCCCCCCAATCACACACGTCTGTTATCTTTTTTGACGGAAATCACTGACGTGACGGAGTAAAGTGAAAAAAATTATGTAGTTTGAGGGGCAAAATGAAATAACTTTTCCTTAAATATGTAACAGACGTTAATAATTAGAGTAATGTAAAACTAATTACATAATTGAAGGTGCAATGTGAGAAATCTGATAGTTGAGGGGACAAAGTGAAAAAAGGGTAACAATTTAGGAGTTGTAAATGTAATTTACCCTACAATTTCTAATATATGAGTAGATCTGATTGTCTAGCAGTATAATTCAAAATCTCCTAATCGAAAAAGTTTTTTGTTAGTACTGCTTATATTTAAATTATTTATTTGATTGTTATGTTCTTTAGTTTTATCCACTATGACATTTACTGAATCACTATTATTTGACTCAGATACATCTCACCTGACTCAATCAAGTTACGGGAGATTTGTGGCTTACACAAAAAGCTAAACTATATATCGAACAGAAGGTGTCAGAGTTGAATACAACTTGATGAGTCATATTGGTTTTAGTTAATACTTTGAACTATGAGCGTAATTGAACTTGTGGTTTTTGGATAGGAATCCATTTATCATTAAGCAGTAGAGCATGCACGCATCAGGACAAACGCAGATACATGAAAACACAGACACACACACACAAGCAGAGGTTTTATAAGCCATCATCCATAGAATGAAGAAAATGGATACGATGACATATAAAAAGGTGAACATTTGACAGGATAATTGGGTGCCTGTGCATCAGAAACTTCTAAATACTCAAGAACATCAGCTAAGAAAAAAGTGTGGGAACTTATCAAAGAGTCCCACAGAAGGTGGAATTCCAATTTGGTGCAAGTTATATTCTATCAGGAGGTGGTAAGAGTTATTGTTACTATCCCATTAGGTGAGGCTGCATAAGACAACAGATTAAGATGGCGTTTACTACATATGAGAATATACAGTNTGGGTGCCTGTGCATCAGAAACTTCTAAATACTCAAGAACATCAGCTAAGAAAAAAAGTGTGGGAACTTATCAATCAGTCCCACAGAAGGTGGAATTCCAATTTGGTGCAAGTTATATTCTATCAGGAGGTGGTAAGAGTTATTGTTACTATACCATTAGGTGAGGCTGCACAAGACAACAGATTAAGATGGCGTTTACTACATATGAGAATATACAATGCACAAAAAAAGGCCATCAGAAGAGGGATTCATTAGCTCTTCTTTCTCAAATGCTGAAGCACTATGGAGCTCAATTTGGAAACTCAAAACTACACCAAACACAATATTTCGNTTTGGTGCAAGTTATATTCTATCAGGAGGTGGTAAGAGTTATTGTTACTATACCATTAGGTGAGGCTGCACAAGACAACAGATTAAGATGGCGTTTACTACATATGAGAATATACAATGCACAAAAAAAGGCCATCAGAAGAGGGATTCATTAGCTCTTCTTTCTCAAATGCTGAAGCACTATGGAGCTCAATTTGGAAACTCAAAACTACACCAAACACACAATATTTAGNTGGCGTTTACTACATATGAGAATATACAATGCACAAAAAAAGGCCATCAGAAGAGGGATTCATTAGCTCTTCTTTCTCAAATGCTGAAGCACTATGGAGCTCAATTTGGAAACTCAAAACTACACCAAACACAATATTTCGCGTAAACTGGCAAATTGGGCAGTAGCAACTAGATCGAATATGGCAAAAAGAATATTACTCAACTACCCCAGTATGTCCCATCGAGGAAGAGGAAGAGGCTACAAAGCACCTATTCATATCATTCCCTTGAATAATATACCTCTGAAAAGTTATCCCCGTTGCAGATGAATGTTAATAGATATGGAGTAACTAGGGAGGAAACCTGGCTGATGGAAAATCTGAAGCACACCATAGGTCGAGTGGGAGAATATGCATACAGACAACCTCCCTTAGCATTCTTATGGTGTTTATCATCATAGAACTCCCAATGTCAAGCAAGTCATCACCCAAAGCTATGACAACAGTTGCAGAAATCTAACAGGTCACAAGAGGCTCGACTCAACAAAGTGAAGAAGCTATATAAATGTGATGGTGCATATGGCATATGAAGAAAAATAAGAAGGGGACTGCATGGAATTCTAATGAGATTTCACAATGGAGAATTGCTGAGAGGGGCTTCAGGCAGCATGGCAACTTCTTCCCTTTTGGCCACAACAGCATGACCAATCATGGTTGCATGCAATAGATGAATGATATCAATCCCTAATGGTTGAATTCGATTCATAGGAATTGGTGGACTCTGAGTAGAGGGCCTGTAGTAGTCTAAAGGACATGGAAACCATTCAAAGAGACATCTGGCACTATGCTCAGAAAATTCTACCAACGCAATTCAAAGTCCTTAACAGGTTAGCCAACCAAGCAGCTTGTTGGTAGCAACTCAAATGAATATGGGTATCTTGCCTTTACATTGGGTTGACTAATCCACTACAGAGCCTACTGGATTTTGTGTTCAAGGAAGCTCGAGAAGGAAGGGGATGAACTTTAAACCATGTCTTTATGGATATGTAATCATAGAAAAAGTATAGACAAAGGTGGAAATTCACGTATCTTGCTATCCGAATGCAACATCTTACTCTCACCTCCTCTTTTCATTTTCCTGCTCAAAACAAAAACTTGGAATTTCTGATCTCCAGCTGAAAAAAACAGCAATTTGGCGTCAACTGTCAAAATGCAGCATTTTGGTTGACATTTCACTTCCCAAAGGCAGCATTTTGGCATGCAATTTAAAATTCATCATTTTGTTTCTAATCGTTGCAAGCACAACTTCTTGACTTCTAAGCATCAAATTGTAGCATTTGACTTACAGTTATATTTTTTCTATTCTGTGATTATCAAATGCCAGCATTTTAGCCTCTTCAATGGTTGAAGTGCGTGTTTATTTAGCCTCAGTCAAAAATTATCACATTTTGCAAGTTAAGAGCGGCATTTAGCTTTATTACTGCACTTCAGTTTAGTTGCATACAGTCAGGCATCCTAGCCTCTCCCAAATATTATGCAATATGCTAATTGTCACAAAAACATAGTATCTGGATATCTCAGTCATATTTGGTCCTTCTTCTCATAAATGTGCCCCTCCAAAATCAAAGAAACTTTGATCGGCTGAAGTTTTTTATTTTTTCAGGAAACTAAGGAATCATTGGAGAGAAGCAGGCATGCAATTTATAGAATTGAGCACCCGTACGTAAAATATTACTGACACACTAATTAGCTGAGCCTCTGCTAAATATGCTGCTGTAGACGATTTCAAGCAACCATTGAGCATTAACTGCACTCTAGAGATGAGTGCCATCAAAACACATGATCGTAAAACACTTCAAGGCCAAAAAACACAAACAACAGATTAATTGAGAATTTGGGAGCTCTTTCAAATTCAAGATGACTTAAAAAACATAAAGCAGAAAACAATATATCCTAAAGTCGCCTTTTGATATATGAAAGGCACAGCTACTACCCTTCAAATTGTAATCGTCACCATTTGAACCATGAGACTAAGTTATCCCTGTATTCTGATGGACCATTATAAGTTCTTTCAATGCTTATATGAATGCATTTATGGGATGTGAAGGTCCTCCGTACCATCTTTTGCATACATAACTACAAATATAAGTGCATCTTCAATACTAAACATACACATCTGACATATAAAAACATTTTTTGTATCGCCAAAAAGGAAAAAAAAATCTCATATACATAAACATGTAGTCAAATACTACCGCTAAAGGCAGGCATGAAAAAATGCTGACATATAAGAATGGATCAGTGAATCGCCACTTTTGCATTAGGAGGTCTAGATCATATTGAAAAAGTTACAGCTAATAGAATTTGAACAACCGTGATATGATATAAGGAAATGATATCTATCATTAATTTCTAATCTTTAAACAATATATTAATCTTTATTATGAATGTTGTTTTGAAAATCATCAGTAAAAGAATGTACACAATCTGATTCTATATCTAACCATTCAAGCTCTTAGAATCCCGCAGGAATTGTAAAAGAAACAGGATACTGTTTTGTTGTAGCGGATGGAACTTCTGATAAAACCTGAGGTGATGCCTTAATTACATGATTTATTGCAGCATTAACTGAACTCGATAGAATAACACCCCTACTTTCTTCACCTCCAAATCTTTCTTCAGCAAAACTAGAAACCTCTTGATTATCAGTCCCCTCTTCATCTTCAGATAAATAAGAAAAGGACTACTCTTCAGAAAAGAAGTTGTAATCATCCGAAAAAGAGGAAGAACTGAGTCCATCATCAGCCATGGACAGTATCAATAAGGAGCTGTCCTCATTGACATCTGCAACCTCCTCTAAATCTTCAATGTCATCAACATCAACTATACCTTCCACAAATGGGTGATTCAACAACATTTCAGCAGTAAATCTGTACATCTCCTTTCTCACAAAACAACCCTTCAGGAAATCTCTCCCCTCTTTTGATATCTCCAATGGAATTTTAGGCAATTCGTGCCTATCCCCAATTTTTTTGAGAATATCCTCAACGTTCAACTCTTGTTCCCCATTCCACGCAGGTTTCCCAGTTAGCATCTCAAGCACAATACAACCGAGAGCCCAAATATCAGACGGAGGCTCTTGCACATTATCAACCACTGCTTCAGGAGACAAAAACAGTGGAGTGCCTCTCCAATAAGACTCCAACTTCCTCTTCTTGCTCCCACCAGCCCTTTTTGCCAACCCAAAATCACCAATTTTCACCTTCAACTCGGATGNGAGTGCCTCTCCAATATGGCTCCAATTTCCTCTTCTTGCTCCCACCAACCCTTTTTGCCAACCCAAAATCACCAATCTTCGCCTTCAAGTCGGAAGTAAGCAAAATATTATCAGGTTTTAAATCACAATGGACATAACCACACCCATGAATATGACTCAACCCTCTAAGAATACACCTTGTGTATCGTTGAACATCGGATTCAGGCAATCCGTTGCCACCCATTTTTTTAATCTTATCAGCTAGGGTTCCTCCAGGANATCGACGGACATCGGATTCAGGCAATCCGTTGCCACCCAATTTCTTAATCATGTCAGCTAGGGTTCCTCCAGAACCATACTCCAACAACAAGTTATACACCATCTCACCATTCTCACCTGTAGTAGTTTCATCACCATAGCATCGAAGCACATTAGAACAACATCTCACATTATTCAAAACCTCCCTCTCCTTCTGAATCGTACCTGAAACAGAGACCTCCGATGATTTCACAGCCATAACAGATGGGAAATAGCCGTATCGCGATCTAGGTTTCTTCGAAGTGGCCAAATAAACCGACCCAAAACTTCCNACCATACTCCAACAACAAGTTATACACCATCTCACCATTCTCACCTGTAGTAGTTTCATCACCATAGCATCGAAGCACATTAGAACAACCTCTCACATTATTCAAAACCTCCCTCTCCTTCTGAATCGTACCTGAAACAGAGACCTCAGATGATTTCACAGCCATAACAGATGGGAAATAGCCGTATCGCGATCTAGGTTTCTTCGAAGTGGCCAAATAAACCGACCCAAAACTTCCTTTGCCGATCATTGCACCTCGACGCCACGCCACTCCATCTCCAAGATGATTCATACTCTTCTTCTCAACCTTATGTTGAAGCTCATTACCTTTCATTCTCTCCATCCTCTTTATTTTCTACCGCCAACACAAAATTTTCAGGGTATTAAACCGATTCTTGAAGCTAGGTTTGATTACTTTGCACACACGTATAGACAATGAGGAGAGATACGGNATCCTCTTTATTTTCTACCGCCAACACAAAATTTTCAGGGTATTAAACCGATTCTTCAAGCTAGGTTTGATTACTTTGCACACACGTATAGACAATGAGGAGAGATACGGATACGCAAGTAGGACTTGTTTTTGGGGACTACTAGGGTTTCTGAGGAAATATATAAAACCAAACATATCACAAGTCGTAGGTTTTCGAAGGAAAAAAGGAATCATTGAAATTAAAGTTTAAATATGAGCTGCTTTGGTTGTGTGTTCTCGGCTGTTTCTGATGAATTTAGGTGTTTTAGTAAGGGAAGAAGCCGCGTTTTCTTGAAGGGTGTCCGCCAGTCTCCTTTAAGGTTAAAATTAACTGACTAACGGTAAGTCTTTGAAACATTTGACGCGCCATACCGATAATTTTTCGGGTCGGGTTTCATGTCAATATCTACTACTTCCATATTTGATTCATTTACAATCTTATCCATTCGAACTTTGAGTTTACCCATTAGGTTAAGTCAAAACATGTCAATTACATGACGATTTTGTGTTGAATATGCAAATCTCATGTAAATAGGTGGACCTAATTCACGCTGTTATAAAATGGTATTTTTACAGTTATATAGAGTGTAAGTTAAATTAATTACCAAAAGTTTTAATTTTATTCAGTAACTTTTAAAAGCTTTGATTGTTATACATGTGAAATAAGCTAAAATAAAAATGCCTAATGGGTTATACTTCAATCATATATACCATTCCCTCGTGTGATCGCCCAATGTATGCTTTGTTTGGGTAAATCATTCATCAAATAGGTTAGGCATTATTCTGTTGCAATCTCAAAGTGTGTTACATCAACATCATCAATTGTTAATCTAAATGTCATTGTCCAAAGTCCTTTTGTGCTAGTGAAAAGAAAAGAAAAGAAAACAGAATTTCTTTAGGAAGAAACAAAATCTTTGAATTTACCGTCGAATGTGTCGTGAATGATGATGATAGTACTGTTGATTTTTTCATATTTGGAATGTTTGGCTAGAATTAACAAATGGGTAGTTGTATGTTTGCCACCACAATGGAAGAAGAAATGAAATGTTGTAGAATCTTTCAATGCATATGCATCAATGCCATGTTATCCAAAAACAACCAGAAGAACATAAAAGATTATTTTCTAAATGCGGACTTCAAAGGCTGCTGCTAATATTTCAAGAATCAAAAACTAAGTTCAAGAATAGAGCTCTTTCATATTAATATATCTTGTGTATCAACTTAAATTAGAAGAACACAGTTAGACGTGTCATCTTTACACCAGTGTAATGGGAAACAGAATCAGATAAGCATAACCGAAAACTAAGATATTGCAACTGAAATAAGCCATGAACAAGTGGTGGCATAAAGCAGTAGAGTGGAAGAGATTATACTGCCATTACTCAGGAATGTATATGTGAGGAATAAAACAATCAAAATGCGAGAGGTGAGAAGATGTCTTCCTTTTTTCAAATCAAGAAAGACTCCTGTTGTAAATAGGAACTAAAATCTTATAAACATAAACAGAAACTCACACATTACAACTAAAAGCGGGCATGAGGAAATGCTAACATATAGCAGAAAAAACTGGACCTGATTACACACCTCTACTCTTAAGGAACACGTAGAAGGAACTATCAGACTTGCCAAATGAGAATAGCAACTACCCTTGTAGCATCATTGAATCCCCATATCTGTATTAGGCTGACTAGACCAATAATATGAGAAGCATANCAACTACCCTTGTAGCATCATTGAATCCCCATATCTGTATTAGGCTGACTAGACCATTTCANAACTACCCTTGTAGCATCATTGAATCCCCATATCTGTATTAGGCTGACTAGACCAATAATATGAGAAGCATATACCGCAATGTGAGAAGCATTTCATAAGATGCTAATGATCATCTCCAAGATCCATGACAGTAATAAAACAGAATTGTTTGCCCCATATGAAAACCACTGCTATACCATGCTTCGAATCATTTAATGCAATCTGCACTATTTAGCCGAAGTACAGATTTCAGAATTTCACTGTACCATATCTGCACTGTAAGTGCTTCAATCGCACAATTGAAAAAATAAAATAAAACCAAGTATTGGATGCTCAATAACAAAAAACAAAAGCAAGACTAGAAAATCCAACAAAGTTGAGACAATAAGTAGTATCTTGTATACAAATATGCTAATAAACAATACAAAAACTAAGAAATAAGAGCAAGATGACATCAAAAAAGATTTCGTGTATCAACTCCAGAAAATTACTACTGTAATCATTCGAGTGAAGTTCAAGCTATGGTAAAAGTACAAGTAGATATCTTCCTACTACTTCAGAACATGCCTCCTGAAAGGATAACAATTAATTGAACAGGAACTATGGGAAGCAAACACAGTTCCAGTATGTATACGAATTGTTTAAAGTTACCATTCGTAGATATTACCAGGATATCAAGAAATGAACTCTATCATTGATTTCTAATATGTAGAAAATATGTAAATTTGTACAATGAATGTTGTCAAATAAACCATCACTAAATCTAGGGATAAAACCAATTAAATTCAATATCTAACCAATCATGTTCCTAGACTCCAGCAGGAATGGTAAGAGGAACGGGGCACGGCTGTGTTGTTTCTGATGGACCTCCTGATAAAACCTGTGGTGGATTGAGTGCAGCATGAACTGATCTGGATAACATAAAATCTCTACTTTGTTCAGCTTCCGAACTTTCTTCAGCAAAACTAGAAACCTCCTCATTATCCATGCCCTCTTCATCTTCTGACCAATAAGAAAAGGACTCCTCTTCAGAAAAGAAACTGCAATCATCTGAAAAAGAGGAAGAGCTGAGTTCATCATCAGCCGTGGACAGTACCAATAAGGAGCAGTCCTCATTTACATTTGCAACCCCCTCCAGCTCTTCTATGTCATCATCATCATCAACTATACCTTCCACAAATGGGTGATTCAATAACATTTCAGCAGTAAATCTGTACATCTCCTTTCTCACAAAACAACCCTTCAGGAAATCTCTCCCCTCTTTTGATATCTCCAGTGGAATTTTAGGCAATTCGTGCCCATTCCCAATTTTTTTAAGAATATTCTCAACGTTCAACTCTTGTTCTCCATTCCACGCATGTTTCCCAGTTAACATCTCAAGCACAATACAACCGAGAGCCCAAATATCAGATGGAGGCTCTTGCACATTGTCAACCACTGCTTCAGGAGACAAATACAGCGGAGTGCCTCTCCAATATGGCTCCAATTTCCTCTTCTTGCTCCCACCAGCCCTTTTTGCCAACCCAAAATCACCAATCTTCGCCTTCAAGTCGGAAGTAAGCAAAATATTATCAGGTTTTAAATCACAATGGACATAACCACACCCATGAATATGACTCAACCCTCTAAGAATACACCTTGCGTATCGACGGACATCGGATTCAGGCAATCCGTTGCCACCCAATTTCTTAATCATGTCAGCTAGGGTTCCTCCAGAACCATACTCCAACAACAAGTTATACACCATCTCACCATTCTCACCTGTAGTAGTTTCATCACCATAGCATCGAAGCACATTAGAACAACCTCTCACATTATTCAAAACCTCCCTCTCCTTCTGAATTGTACATGAAACAGAGACCTCGGATGATTTCACAGCCATAACAGATGGGAAATAGCCGTATCGCAATCTGGGTTTCTTCGAAGTGGCCAAATAAACCGACCCAAAACTTCCTTTGCCGATCATTGCACCTCGACGCCACGCCACTCCATCTCCAAGATAATTCATACTCTTCTTCTCAACCTTATGTTGAAGCTCATTACCTTTCATTCTCTTCATCCTCTTTATTTTCTACCGCCAACACAAAATTTCCAGGGTATTAAACCGATTCTTGAAGCTAGCTAGGTTTGATTACTTTGCACCCACGTATAGACAATGAAGAGAGACAAAGGATACGCAAGTCCTAGTAGTATTTTTGGGGACTACTAGGGTTTCTGAGGAAATATATATAAGACCAACCAAATCACAAGTGCTAGGTTTCTTAAGACGAAAAGGAGTAGACCAAATTTCAGATTGAAACATACGCTGCGGAGGTTGTGTTTCTCGGCTGTTTCTGAATTTAGGTGTTTTGGTAAGTGTAGGAGCCGCGTTTTCTTGAAGGAGTCAGCAAGTCAGCCTTAGTTAAATTATAACGGAATAACGGTAAGAAACCTGGAGGCTGGGTCGGGTCAAGTCATTTTTTTTATTAAATATTTATAGTTGAGTTTGTGTTGCGTACATTGCACGCGTTTAGTCACATTTAGGCCTGTCAATAAGGATGACAGTGGATCGAAAAAAAAAAAAATATTCGCCCAATTCTCTTCGTTTAGACCGGAGATGGACTATATGTATTGAACGACGGACGTATACGAGAATACTTGTATAAACTCGTGCGGGGATGGACTTACCTTTACGCTTGCCCCGCCTCCACCCCATCTCCATCCCCGTTATACCCGTTAAATAGACTTAAAAATTAGATTTGATAATTACAATTATTAATTTCACTGTGGGTCCTAGCATTTATTGAAACTCATTACCTATTCAATAATTGAGATTGTCAAATCTAATTTTTAAGTTCGTCTAATATTACTTTATATAATATACTTAGATGTATTCTGCTTGGGGGTGTGGTAAAAAATTATACTAAGTGCCAGTCAGATTCTTACCCCTCTGATTATTATGCATTTTAAATGAATCCTTGTGTCATATTTGGAATGATAATTGATCACCTGTTTCTTGCAACCCTTACATTGCTTTTTCAGAGAAAAGATGCTAATGAGAGCGTGACTATGATTGCAGTAAGTTGCGAACAAGCTAGCCGAACTTAGTGATGTTCTTCTAAGTTCTTACTAATTAG